TATTTTTTAAAATATTTTTTATTTTTTTTAAAAATATTTTTATAATATAAAAACAAACAGGATCTTAAAATAATCTAAAAACTAACTTTCACAAGATAGAGAAAAATAAAAAATTAAATAAAAAATAAAAAAGTAAAAGAATGAAATTAAAAGAATCAATATCTTCTAGTCTAATTTAAAAATTTTCAAATTTCAAACAATCAACTAAATCTTAAATAAATTTAAATCTTTCAAATATTTTAAATAAATTTAAATATAGTTGGATATAAAATTACAAGCTTTCATTTAAGATAAAATATCTTCCTTTTTTTTATTTTTTTAATAATTTTAAATATCAAAATCAATTTATACATATCATAACTAATTTTTAGATCTATTAAAACATACTATAACTAATTTTTAAATAACTAATTTTTAAATTTATCTTGTAAGCTAAGTGCAAGGGTAAAACAAAAATAATATGTATATATCAAACCCAAATATATATTAAAAAAAGATCACAATCTCAATCGCGTCCTCCCCTTCCTCTTGAAGTTATGTGTTCATAAACAAAACTTTATTATTTACCAAAAAAACAAAAAATTATTAAACTTTTTACATTTCAGAAGAACCCCAACGAACTATTGAGACCTCTCATGTCTGTCGTACTCCTTGCGTCGACACCACTCGTGGTGACATGCAAACCGCAAACAAGACAGCAGCCAAGTTAAAGGGAAAAGTCAAAGCAGGGAGCCTGCACTGTCGGAGAAATAAATTTATTAACAGTAATACAGGTAGCTAGGTCTTAATTAAACTAGACAAAACTAAACCAGGTACAGATTGATTGACATTAAAGAAGGTGAGGTAATTTCCCTAAAAGGGCAAGTTCCTCGAATAAAGGCAAAAGACAGAGAAGCCATCCGCCGGAAGGTTAACTCGGCTAAAAAACCGGGTTTTAAATTACATGGGTTAACCCAGGTCAATCAATTTGTGGTTTCTATGCTTGGAAATCAAACAAGTGCAACAGAAAAATTCACTTGTTATGAGGAACAAAAGGAGAAGAAAGACAATGACTCCCTCTTTGTGGCTGTAGTTGCTAAGATTTTCCCGAGAAAATCGATCTGTTCTTTGATCGCTAGCTGGGAGGGATTGGAAAGAAGAAAGGAGGAACAGGAGCAGAAGAGGAAAAGGGTCTGTTCCTAAAACAAAGCGAGATCGTTTTGTTAATTAAAAAAATAAATGACAAGTCTCACTCGGGTTGCTACGGATCACCCGGGTTCCGGGTTGAGCCTCCGGGCCGGGTTTATTACCATGGCCATAAGAGGTTAAACTTCTGACAATATAAAAATAAAGGAGTCAGAAAGGAACGCAAGACAAAGCAAAAGCAGCTGCTGTTTCCAATCTGAGGTTTGTTCTTAAGAAACATCACTCATTTTAAATACAAAAACGTCGTCACTAATGACTAAAAACTCTGCTGATTCATCATCAAACCCTTAACTAAAAAGAAAAAAAATCAGTTTACGGACACAGATTTTACATAAAGTAGATCCCATATTTCTTTTCTTGCTAAAAGTTCTGCTTTTCTTCAGGTTATTGATCTTGCAAGCAAGAGAACAAGCTCTGCAGAAAGAAAAGGTAGCACCACAATCTTTCTTCTCTCATAGACACACACATGCATGTCACTTGCTATGTGTTGTTGTTTTGCTTTATCGATCTTGTGTTTTACCATCCCAAAAGATTTCTGGGTTTTCCTTTTCGTGTGTTTTTACAAAGGCTTTGTTTTGTTTGGTTAGAAATCAACGCAAGTATGAATTCTTGGTTTTTGGAGTTTGTGTGTGTATCAGTATGATATCTTTTTTCTTCTTTATTAATTGAGTTCTTTTTTTAGCTCAAATTAGCATGTGATGTGATGCTGTTTGTGGTTCTAGAAATGAATTGCAATTCTTTTGTTTGATTTTCTTTATGATTGGAATTTGCTTTACCTTTTGGCCTGTACCCAAAATTACCAGAGGAAGATCAAGATCATCACTAGTTTTCTTTGGGCTCATGGTTGATTGCCGAAAGGCATGTTGTAACACTGGAAGAGCTGTGTCAAATAAATCAAACTATACTTCATTAAAAAAATAAAATAACAAAAAGCAAGTCGGTTGAATCTCTGTCAATATTATGGTGATAATGGATTTACTATTGGTAATGGTTTCTGGGTTTTTTCTTTTCTTTCAAGATATTATACTAACCCTCAGCGATTTTAGCATCTATGTATTTTATCTGGATCCTGCTGTGTGCATGTATCTTGGCGATTTACTAAGCAGATCAAAGATGTAATAGGAAAGTTCTGGGAAATTAATTATATTCTGTTTCTGTGTGGGAGCTGAACAATATCATCTAAAAATGAATTTCTTTCTATAATTGCACTATGCTGTTGTCGGGATATGGGTGGGCCTTCTACCTTCCCAAAGGCATCTGTCTCTAATTAGTTTCATCATCAAATTGGGCATCATAAATTTTTGAGACTTCACCTTTTGAATTTAACTGCAGAACCATCACAGCTATGCGACTCTCTGCTTTTCCTAGCATTGAGAGGATGTATTCCTACCAAAACTTGGCTAGTGGAAGCCACTTGTTACCATGCTTGAGTGTGAATTAAGTGTGATTGATGTCATTGATTGATACTGGGATATACCCTCATTAATTGAAGCGATCATATCCATAAAAGCTCATCCATGATAAAATGCAAGGATGATGCTGTTATTCTGCATCTTTGATATATTGGGGAGAATTGTTTATTTGTTTATGTTTTTGAAATCAGACAAACTTGGTTTGCGGCATTTTTTAATAATTCAAACACCTGATTGGATAGTGTAAATTGGATTTGCATCGCCTTTTTGTTGCATCTGTTCTGCACCCCAGAGAATTGCTATTCATAGCAAAGCCAATTTCTTTCATGAAATTTCCTTTCAGCATGCAATCATATGATATGTATATCTATATAGGGTAAATTAAATTCTGAATTTAGTTTTTCATGTTTCCTCTTGTATCCTGCTAAACACAGTCATTAAGTTGCTTATTATTGTGTTTAGTTGGATCAAGATGGATCAGCAAGGGTATGGAACAAATCCATATCAGCCAAACCAAATGCCTGCTGCCTCAAATCCTGGATCAGTTACTGGTCAGCCTGCAGGAGCTCAGCTTGAACAGCATCAACTTGCCTATCAGCAGATCCACCAGCAACAGCAACAGCAACTCCAGCAACAACGCCAGTCTTTTTGGACAAATCAGTATAAAGAAATAGACAAAGTTACTGATTTCAAAAATCATAGTCTTCCCTTGGCAAGGATCAAGAAGATCATGAAGGCTGATGAGGATGTCAAGATGATATCAGCTGAGGCACCAGTTATATTCGCCAGGGCTTGTGAAATGTTTATTTTGGAGTTGACCTTGCAGTCTTGGAATCACACGGAGGAGAACAAGAGGAGGACACTACAGAAGAATGATATTGCTGCAGCTATCACGAGGACTGATATCTTTGATTTCCTGGTTGACATTGTACCTAGGGAGGATATGAAAGATGAAGTGCTTGCATCAATCCCAAGAGGAACAATGCCTGTCGGAGGGCCTGTTGATGCACTCCCTTACTGCTATATGCCACATCCACATGCACCTCAGGTCGGGACTCCTGGGATGATAATGGGCAGGCCCGTGACAGACCCAGCTATGTATGCCCAACAATCTCACCCCTATATGGCACAGCATATGTGGCCACAGGGATCAGAGCAGCAGCAGTCACCCTCAGATCAGTAGTAACAACTGGAGCATGGAAGTTAAGAAGTGTAGGCTCACTTTAACTTATCTACCGCTGGTTTGTGTTCGATGACCGAGACCAGGGTGATCAGATGAGGATGTTGTACAGGAATGCTTTCATGTAACTGATAGTGCCAATATTTGCCTTTCTGCCAGATTTTAGTACCCTTTTCTAGTAAAAACCATATATGGAGATGACAGTTGATGTTGAAAATTTCAGTAATGGTGTCATGTAATGACCAGACTTTGTTGTTGCTTTTTTCCCTTTCCTATATGTACGTGATAATTGATGAGCGATGAACATCATCCTTCTGTTATGGTATGTGAACTATGGCTGCTCAGTGTGGATTTTTCTACCTTTTCGTTTAGAACCCCCCCACCCCCCAAAAAAAAAAAAAAAAAATAAAAAAACCCCCCCCTCCCCTTCCAAAAAAAAAAAAAAAAACTTTCAATGCCTGCGTGTCCGTATTTACTCGATTTCCTAGCTCCATAAATGTTTTCATTGATTGTAACATTCTTTGAACGTCTAGCACAAAGGAATATCCCTCATGAAAAGGTGTTGTCAAGAATGGAGCTGAAAAGATGCAAGACTTCTCGTAAATAACATGTGGCTGATCTTGATTGAGCTTTTTTCTCTCTCTCGGACGTCATCCTCTCATTTTTATGCTTGAATCCTTGTTCAGCATTGAACAGATTAATTGTTTTTGGTTCGGTTCTCTCTTTATAAATTCTTTCGTGTACCTTATTCGCAGACTGATTAAAATGTGAAAGGCACAGTAATAATGGGGCAACAGATATGCCCCCTGAAATCTCCGAGCTCTACTGCTACCAGGGTGGATTGCTTCACTACAAAATGAACCGGTATTCTGTTCCCCTTTAAGAGCTGATCTTATGTTGGTGAACAGCATATTCCCATTCTCGAAAGCGTGTACTCAGCTGATACACATCTGCTAAGTGCTGCTTCCAAAGATTTGTGCTACGGAAGTTTTTGATTCAAGGACCAATACATGTTAAACTTTAAGTTGTTTGACCTCACGAAATCAGATCGAGAAGAAAAAAGACTAGTTGAAAAAGAGAGAAACATCTAAAAAAATTTCATATAATGGTAATAACATTCCCTGTTTCGGTGGAGAGGTCCTTCCAGAACTTGATGAACGTTGCATTTCTAACTAATGTACAGGGATTATGTTATCAACTACTTTATATGCTCTTCATGCAACTACTTTATCTGCTCTTCATGACAATCACCTCTAGAATCCCATCAAAGCCAAATTTGCCCGAAAACTGACTAGGATCAACTGGACCAGGCAGTTGTAATGAAATAGAAAACTGCCCTGGTGAGCAGAGATTTCTGGATAGCATCTCAAACTTTTGGGAGAACCTGTACACCGTTTTCTCACCTGTTGTTGTAATGCCCTTTATCAGCACCTTACCATCATTTTCAATTTTGCAGCTGAATTCATCTGCAGAAAGAACAATAGTTTAAATAGACACGGAGCAAAGGGTAAAGGAAAAGAAAAGGTATCATCAAGATTTGTTAATATAGTGGAAACATGAGGTGATGCAACCTAAAATTAATAGGGTTCAATGCTGGCCACCCCTACCTGTTTGGCATTTTCAAGCAAACAAGCAAGCAACCATCACAGAAATTTTAACAAGAGTGGCCAGCGTAAATTAAAGATGTTCCCTTCAATTATTATGAATCTTGGTGGCAGTAAGTGTAAGTTACACAGTTAATGTTGTCTTCCCATGTGAAAGTTGAGATGTTTTCTATGGAATTGGAAATATGATCAGATCAATTGAATGTCATCACTGCACAGTACACACGTGGCAAGCTACAACATCATTTGATTTTTCCATTTCACAGACAATTTAGAGCATAACAAGCTGATAAGATATGAAGGGAAAATTATGAGATTCACGAGAACTTTATGCTTACAATATATCTACTAAAAGTAAACTACAGCATCATGGAAAGAAAAAGGAAATTCAGTAAGAAGCAAGCATTTAATCATACTAATGATACTTACTGTCGTCTTGTCTCACTCCAGGAAGAGACACCCGGAAAAGGTATGCATCTTCACACTCACCAATATCAACAAGCCCGACAGTCTGTTGCACCTGGCCCATTGCAGCAGTACCAGTCAATGCAAGTCCACCTTTACATGCAGCCACTAAACTGTTCCACTCTTCCTTTTTCGCTCCTGATGGAAGAAAAACCATCCGTGGACTTTCTTCAGCAGATTTTCCAGAATCTCTGGCTGGTAGAGATGTTGTACAGCTGTGAGGAGGAGGCAAACCTCTAAATGGCACACAGCTAAGAGGTTGCACATCATAGACATGCAGATCCCTGGCTTGCAGGATGCCATCTGCATGTTTTGCTCTCTTTTGAAAATGGTGAGTACTTATAGGAGGCCATTCTACACCAGGTCCAGCCTCATGCACGATCACATCATATAGAGCACTGCCATCCAAATATGAGTGAAATCTTGCTGCATCTCTATCCAGCAGAAGATTCTTGAGCCCAGTTAATCTTATAAACCTCTCAATGTCCTTTGAGCCAATATGGGAGGTATTTGGGTTGTTGATGAATATCACATTTGACACAATTTGGTATCTATTATCCATTAGTGAATGAGGAGGATGTAGGTGGGTTGGAAACATATCAGGAAACTGCAGGTAACTGGCAGTTCCAGAAGCAGGTAGGTTGCCTAGAAAGAATTGGTGCAACAAGGATAATTTCAAAGCAAGATGCTTCTCTGCCTTTCGAAGTGCATAGTGGTATATATGCTCTATTTCTTCAGTTTTGATGTAGCCTCCAGTTAGTTGTTCTAATAAGTAAGTTGATAGCCCCTCAGCTGCTCTTTGAAACAGTGATTTTTTAGGTCCTTCTTTGAGATCAGGCCCAAAAAAGTTTCCGATGATGAAATAAAGGAGGAAAAGTTGGTCATTGTTGGCTATGACACTTGAATCAACAAAGGATTCTGATCCCGCAGTTGAAAGAGAATTTGCAGCCTGAGATGAAGTATCCATATGTTTGCAATATAATAAATCGGAATCTGCATTAAAAATTAAAAGCACTTAGGAAAAAAACAAATAATGATTCTCATAAATTTAGCAAAAATTCATTTAATGTACTCATAAAAAAATTATACTGACAGGCCAGTTCCTAAAATATACATGACGTTATCTTCATTAATCATATTATTTTCATTTTATGATGACAGGCCAGTGCAAAAAATACTTGTTTTGGGGGTTAATGTTTATTTGAAACTACATTAATCATATTATTTTCATATGATTCAAGCAGAACACATGCTCCTGGCATCATTTTACATATCATTCCATATTTGAAGTTTTTGCCACGAACATATATCTGAATTACTAAAACAACTTATGAGCTCAAGTTTATATCATAAGATGGACGGCAGATTAGTAGGCTATGATACAACTATGTGTTGAAAAAATGACTTAGTTCAGCGCAAATACATTGAGTACACTGTATAGTATCAAAGATAGCCAAACTCCTCTAATCAATGACATGAACTACTATCTATTCACAAACTTCTACAACTGATGAGAAACCATAAATGTATGCATGCAAACATCTACCCATTCATTTGCGAAATATTGGAGAATCAACTGTTCACTAGCAAAAATAGTTTTTTAAATGGTAACATATCATTGATATTCATAGTAACTCAGATACAATCTGGATCAATCTATTCTAACATCAACAGAGATTTAGCAACATAACTGCCTATGTTTTACTCCTTATATAACATGATTAAAAGGGAGTCTAACTATCCTTTGGAATTCTGCACTTTTAGTCACAGGATAAAATTCCATTAGGCAAGGTATGGCATAAGCTCTAAAACTTTTAAATTGAAAGGTTCCTTGAATCTATGGCTTAACTAACATAAATATATCAGAAGAACTCCCAAAGCAAATAAATTTAGGGGAATGTCTGAGGAAACTTTATCTTTTGACTCTAAAGATAACCACCTCAAGGTCACCAGCCATTACAGCAGCCAGAATTTTTCATCATGACTAGCCTGGTCTCAGATAACAAAGGGATGGAGAAAAGTTGCTAGGCAGAGCAAAGCGCTATGAAGGGTGAAAAGTCAACTTGCTAACTTGATAGAGCTGAATTCTTCAATGGGTTTTTCTGTTGACAGATGCCCTTATCCTTCACTTGTTCTATATCCTAAGGGGAAAACGGTCAACTTAATCTGCTAGCCCTAAAATATGTAGCTAAACAAATAATAGCATATATGTTTTCTGATTATGACAAGGAGCCATCAAAGCAGTTAACAACAATGCATGCTGAGAAAAGATAACTCAAATAAATGTAGCAGAGTTTGATGATTTGAATAGTGGCTGGAGTTTTGTTCATGGAATACATGCCATCGTGAACTTTCATAATGGGTTACTAGCATTGCAGGATAAACTTCTTACTGAACGTGCCTCTCCTAGCCCATTCCGTTACAAGATGTAACAAAAAAGATCCGTCACTAGGGTCTACTACTTCATGTAACAGCTGATGTTTAAGAAAATTAGCAAGACTGAAGATGAAAATGATAAAAAGGTTAGTTATAAGTAGAAGTACAAGCAAATCAATTGACCCCTCGACTACAAACAAATCAATCTACAAGCCTGAGCTTTTAGGTTTAGTGCTTTCTAATGATCTGTTAGAGAAACTATGACTGGGTGATCGGATGTTTCAGGCCTGAAACCCCCAATGTTACAATAAATTTCAACACAAAGTCGCAGCACATCTATGTTAGGTTCACACATTCAAACCAAATGACTCTCTGCATAGAAGTGTGTTTAAAGATATAAAAACATGTCCCTAGGCCCTCAACTATAAGCCTGAGCTTCTCTAATAACAACTTCTGGACTCATGTTCTTTTCTACTGGAATTTGAAATCAAACTCTCATGATTTATAGAGCACGTGTCTAACCACAATGTCAGTGGAATGCAAAATGTCATCATCATACTAGATAGATCAACAACTCTAAAATAACCACATTGATTTAGGGCATGACCATGGAGAATCCTACCATTCTTAGGTCCCATGCTGAACCACAACCTGGATGATGCTAGCCAATTGCAGTTCATGAAGACTCTGGACCCAAAAAAAAATGGCAACCCCACTATACTTTCACTTATTTCAAAATGTTTCTAGTAATTAGACAAAGAATCATTTACAAGTTGGAAGACATCAAGACAGAAATGCAACATCTAACCAAAAGAAAGAAAGTTTGTAGCTAGTTTTTGCTTATAAATTTTAGCACACATTTGCTAGTACATACAAGGAAGGTTAAATACTCACACCAGTCACATTTCTTGACTGGCCACAAACCAAACTTTATCATGTTCCATTCACCCGATCATGAGCAAGAGAAACCTTACATTTCACATAATTCACCTCAATAAATTAGAATTAGAAAAAAGAAAGTGACATGCATGTACACAATCTTTCCAGTGAATGGGGAAAGTGTTGTCATTAACAATTCCTTGAAGCACAAAATTTCAGTAAAGCAAGAAAATCTTTTTAAGCTATATATCTTTGCTATTTGTAATGGCTCAAACTAGATATCTATCTTCAGTCAACCACTGAAGCAGGAATATAACAAACATCACTCCATGCTGAAACATACATGTCCAAGGCTGTGACAGAGTATCTGCATTGCTTTAAACCATGGGAAGAGTATCAAAATGGAATCTGATCTGTCCTTGGGCATCTGAACACTAACATGATAGATTCGATTGAGAAAAAATCTGGCACAATCACATAAAAATAATGAAAAAAAAACTCTATATGCAGAAGTTTTTACACGGCCCAACACACAAAGGTCTTGAGGAAGAAATATGGAAACAGATATAGGAGGGATGCTAAATCCACCTAAAAAATGGCTGAAAATTGGCAACATTTGTTTTTATTGATCTCACAAGTTCTGTGAATTAAGAACTACTCTTAAAAATGTACCAGAACCTCTTCCAATTGTAAGTTGGTTAATGAGAATCAAATAAATACAAACAGAGAATATGCATGAAGCAAATCAACTTGCCAATTCCCTGAACCGGAATTATTCCTTTCACCTTCCACACAATGGACTGATTTAATCAGTCATTAACACTAGCCAAGAATGAGCACAATTGAGATGGTTCATAATACTAAGAAGGCAAGGGTCCTCTATTTTCCCTGGTAGCTCAAGGAACAAAAAACTAAGGGTAATAAACAGTAATATACAGCAAGGAGCAGACAAGTAGATAATAGCAATAAAACAAAGCATGATGTAACCACAACTGAACAATGACATCATTGGACGGGCTAAGACCAACATTAAATCAAGCGATGATGTAAAAAGGAAAACATAAAGAGGCTGATTACAATAATATTTGGGCAACTCGGGAGTCGGGATCTTTCCCGTGAATTGGTGCCTGACTTGATGATCTACTGAAAACTTCTAGCCACCAAGTCCAGCTGGGATCTAAGGAATACAAAAGCTTTCTCCTCGTTAGTGAACGACAAATTGAAAAACTGGGCACAACGATAAGATAAAAATCAAAAGATTATTCAACTTAACATGAAATTCATTCAAATTATGAACTATTATGCGGATTAGAGCAAGACTAATCAAATTTGGCAACCAATGAAGTATACCAGCTTTGAATCACGTAAGAAATAAACAAAGGCGTCCACTTCGAAGGAAGTTTTAGCCACACCTCATAAAAAATTCCAATTTTTGAAAAACTAGAATTCTTTTTTGTGTATAGTTCTACCAAAACAAGGTTACTTATCCAGAAAAACTCACCAAATTTAAGGCGAAAGAAGTTACAGTCTTCATATCATTGACTCTCGTGACTGCAAAACTGGATTTAATGAAAAAAAAAAAAATGAAAGACAATCAGCAATTTAAAGAAGATTTTGCTAGGAACACAAAACCAGAAAAAACTTCAATAATTAATATAACAAAGGTTCATTCACTGTATCATACATAAACTGCTATCAAATCATGAGAGAGAGAGAGAGAGAGAATCAACATCTATGAAATTATACATGCAACCAAAGATTCATGCAAAACAACATTTGTCACCTTAACCATAAAAAAAGAAAAAAATAACTTGGGTTCCTCATCAAAATCCTTGCTTTTGATACATGCAAAAAAACACAAACCCCAAGTTCAGATTCTAGAGAAAAATTAACACATCGAATTACAACTAACATAAAATTGAAAACAAAGAACGAAATAATAGGTGATCAAAACACATGCATACATAATGTATGTAGAGAAAGAGCAGTAAGAGGAACTAACCAGTAAGAAAGAGAGGTTGAGAGAGTAAAGGCAATGAAGCGAAGTAATGGGTTGTTGTTTGTTTGGGTTTTGCATGGTAAAACTTGAGAAAGTTTGTGTCTTTTAGTAGTTTTGGCAGCTAGGAAGAGAAGCCATGCCATTTCTCCATACAAGGTAACTGCAGCACAACACAACACTGTTTTGGTCTGGAGCGTTACCAAAACAAGACTTGAAAATCTAGAAAATAGAAAATATCTTGAAAGTTTGAAACGGTAAGAAAATTAAGAACTCGAAGCACCCCATGAAATTGATATAACCATGAATAATTTGAGAAATAATGAAAAACTTCAAAAACTCACTCCCTACAAAACTTATTTCGTTATCATAAGCATATTTCCATTTACGAGGCTTTATAGACATGAGCTTTTCTTTTTTAGAATTTATAAGTTATTTTTATTTATTTTTTTAGGTTTTTTAAATTTAGCTTTTCTCTTTCTTTTTTTAATGTTTAATGTTTTCTATATATATTTATTATGGTGTTTCAATGTTTATTTTTTTAATTTATGAAAATTACTTTTTTAGGTTTTTAATATTAAATTTTTATTTGGTTGCTTAATGGGTATTTTCATTCGGAAAAGAGGAGAAAGGTCATATATTTTATAAAATATCCATATAAAACAATATGTGAGGATGGAAATCTCCTAATAAATAGACATGAAAAAACATGCTAGAATATGAATCAATTATATCTTTATTACATTAAATTAAATTACAAAATAACTAAATGTGAAAGTTAAAATGTTGTAGACCATTTCACTATTCATTCTCTCATAATTTACTATGTATTTGGTAAATGATTGTTTTGATTATTTTTTTTCGCAATCAAATTTTTTATTTTATTTTATCTTTTTAGATTTTTTTTCAATGAATAATTTAAATTCTTTGCATTTACTTGAGAGATGAAAGTTTTTATAAAATTTTAAAACTTGATTATGGAGTAATTTAATAAAAAATGATTTATTTGTAGTAATAAAGTAAAACTAAAAAATTTAAAAAACAAAATACAAAGAATGACTATCTCAAACTCGCATGAAAAAGTTTTGATTAGTCTCCATATTTTTTGTTGACTTTTTCTTTGTCTTTTTAGTTTTTAGAATTTTTGTGTTTATTCAAAAATTTATTTTATTTATTTTTTAATTCATTGATTAGAGAAAAAAGAAAAAAGTTATTGAAAAATAGCTAATGAAAAAAAAGATAACAATGAACTTAAATATGGCGACAAAATAAATCGTCTTGGCATTAATAAGTTTTATTTTATTAATTTAATTTTTTATACTATCTCTTTCTAGAAAAAAATAAATTAGAGTTAACAAAGTTTTTATTTCATAGTTTGATTTTGTATTTTTGTATTAATTTAAATAATAATTAAAAAAATATATAAAAATAAATAAAAAGAAAAAACAGATCTAACATACATGCTTAGTGACCTAACAAGCCCCATGCTTGGCCTTTTTATTTTATAGGCCGAGTATGCTAGGTTTTCTAGACTTAGCCGTCCAACCTGTATTTTTTTAATTCATTATAATTTTTTTTATTAAATTTAATTAAAGATAAATAACTTCAAAAATTATTAAAAATGTCAGATGCTATTTAATTTACATTTAGTTTCTGAATAACTTCTTACTTATTTTTTTATACAACTTTTTATGATTGGTTTTTTTATATATAATTTTTTATAATTTTCTTTGTTATCTTTTATGTGCAAGGTTTTTCTTATTATTGCACGATTACATAAAATGATCTCCAAAAATTTTTGGTATATTATTTTTATATATTTTTAAATATATTTGCAATATGATGATCAAAATATTTTTTAATTATTAAAATATTATTTCATGGTTTTGATAATTTTTTTTATTTCAAAAAATAAACATTCTTGATAAACAAATTGCTAATGAAGAGGTTTTAATTAAATATGTGCCTTTCATTCTTATTTCAAATCATTTAACGTCTTTTGGATATTTATTTCAATGACCTTTGAGTTTTTGAATTTTATTAAATAAAGTACATCTCTAAAAAAAATTACTTACATTTATTTGCATTTATCTTAATTATTTTAATAATGATATAAAATCAAATATCTTAATTATATGCATTTATATTAGAGCTTCTTAATTTATCTTTGATTTGTGTTAACATTTTTTTAAAATTTAATTGAGCATATAATTTTTTATTTATTTTATTAAACATAGACATCTACCTTTTAGTTTACAATAACTTTTTTTTATATCAGGCTAGAAAACATGTAGACAATGCTCATATTTTTATTTTTATTTTTATTTTTTTGTTAGAAAATGACTTTTTAATCCAACTCTCTGCGGTAATTTACTTCCCTTGATCTAAATTTTGAGGTTCATATGTATACTATATATTAAATGGTTGATCCTTGACGTGGCTAGTCGATCTGATCATCTTTCGTTTTGCTGGCAATGGCAGAAGATTTCATTTGTCAATTGAACGACCACAACGTGAAAATGTGGCAACAATGGTGAAAATGTGAAAAACAAAACCCCAAAACTTTCCATTTAATGGCTGTGATGAATTCGGGATTGTGTGTTTTCCCTACTTTTCATTATAAGAGCATCTAAAATCCCATCATCGCCAAAATTGCTCGTAAGCTGGCGAGGATCAACTGGACCAGGCAGTTGAAATGAGATGGAAAACTGGCCTGGTGGGCAAAGATTTCTGGATAGCATTTCGAACTTTTGCGAGAACCTGTACACAGTTCTCTCGCCTGTTATCGTCACTCCCTTTATCAGTACTTTGCCGTCAGCTTCGATTTTGTAGCTGAATTCATCTGCAGTCAGAGAGCAATAGTTTAAGAACAAGGTAGAATGGAATTCAGTGAGAACAAATGCTCAATTTTCTATAAATGATACTTACTTGGATCTTTTCTCACTCCCGGAAGAGACACCCGGAAATAGTAGGCATCGTCACATTCACCTGTTAGGTTGGTTATCACTAATGTGCAACAACCATTTGCTATTGCATCAACCATGTGCACTCATCCAAGATGTCAAAGGTTGGCAGCCACCATTGTTGAAGAAGAGTTGGAGTTGGCAGCTATTTTTGTTGAAGAAAAGCCTCCATGAATGCCTATAAATAGAGGCATATGCAAGAGAGTAATATGAGTGAAGAGAATTATGAAAACCGTTAACTTTTGGGTTTTTAGAAAAATAACTAGTTTAGTTTAAATACATATAGGGTTATGAAATAGACCCTTAGTTAAGTGTATTAAATAGGTTATATGTTCTTTTGAGTCATTCTTGAATATGTTTTCTTTATATTCAGATAATCCTGATATTCTACCGGCAGGACGTCAGTAGGATTTTCTTCGGTATCTACTTTTGATTTCTGTTTGCTTTCGAGTCAGGTGAGTGGATAATTTTCCATATGCAAGAGAAATATTATAAATATTTGATTTGTTAATATGAATTGGATCATGCTTCTTGATAATATATATGGTGACTATTATCCTTGTTATGATAAGCATGATAATTTGTTGAATCTGAATTCTTGATATGAACTAGTATGTATTTTGGATTGACTTCTGAATTGATAGCTCCTCATTTGATTGATGTCATGAGTTGAGCCTTGAGATATTAATATGTCTGTTTGAGTATGATTATGACCCTATGGTATGTCAGTCAGAATACCCATGCTAATAGGGTAGTGCTAGTCTTTGTGCACATCGTATCTGAACCCTAGTTGGTCGGGGGAGTCACCAACCTGTGTGGACTGATCATCCCACAGTACGGAGCCTCATGCTCATTGCATTTTGATTTTCTGATGATTTTACCATATGATATTCTTGTTATGGCCTATTTGAGAAACCTTTTTATAAGAACCTAAAGTCATACTTGTATATATATTTCTCATTGTTGTATTATCTCGTGTGTGTATATTGAACGTTATCTACTCACTGAGTTGTTGAACTCACACTCTTATTATTTATCATTTTCAGGCTTATAGCTTGATAGCAGGTCACTTTTGTTGGACCTTCAGAACCTGCTCTTTTGGTTGTAATCCGTGCATTTTCCTTTATGTCTAATTAGTGCTCCAAAACTATAAAAATATATTAACTCTTGTATTAAGACAATTCAATTATATTATGAAATTGATTTTGTTATTAATGCTGCGTTGAACTCTGATTGAGTTAGGATAAATTTGTATGTAAGTTTGGGTTCGCATAGGTACGAAACCTTGGAGGGGAACCTTGCCTATGTGCCAGTCATGGATCCGGGATTCGGGTCGTGACAGTGATGGCTAGGTATGAGTGGACAGATGGATAGCCAATAAAAAGGCTATGATGAGTATGGAGACAAATGCAGGATTGACTTTCATGGATATTGCCCCCATGCTAAAGATCAATGAGCTAGAAGACATTTGCCTTGGACAATAAGTGGATGACTTGTGGAGCATTAAGACGCAGCTGCTATGAAGGAGCAGAGGGCATACGTAGGTTCCGGGAACAAGTTGACTCTTGTCAAGGTGGTGAGCTCGGTAATGGCATTGTAATACTCAGAGTATGAAGACAGATATGGATCAACCTTTTATGGGCTGCCCCCATGGTTAAAGGTGAAAAGCTACCTGGACTCTTGAGACTAAGAGTGGGAGACTCATGGAGAAGTAAGGCGTGGTTCCTAGGGTGGAACAGAGGGCAGACGCAACTCGTGGATGAGTAGACTCTTGGAAGAGTGGTGAGCTTATGATCATATTGAGATACTCAGATAATAACTGTCTCACTTGAAATATCCGTTTGAGGGGGTGTTATAAGCCTTGATGAATCATTCCGGATCGAGCATGGTTGATACGCTCGAAGGGGAATGTTGTTCCAGAGACAAGCGTTAACACTATTCAGATGTGATGTGGTAGACTATCTGGTTATAGTGATACTTTTATGTGAGAAAATGTGTGCTTAGGTCACTCTGATGATTGAAAGGTTTGGCAAGTACTTGTAAACTTGGCTACAAAAGCTCTCAAAATGGAAAGCTTGGAAGAGCTGTAAGATGCAAGCTTGTGTTGAAGAAGAAAGAGGACAGTTGCCCCACATGAATGGCAAAGGGAGTGATTGTTAGGTTGGTTGCCATTAATGTGCAACAACCATTTGCTATTGCACCAACCATGTGCACTCATCCAAGATGTCAAAGGTTGACAGCCACCATTGTTGAAGAAGAGTTGGAGTTGGCAGCCACCTTT